GGAGAGGGATTCCTAAGATGCATCGCTTCATCACCGTTATCGGGAGTGGAATGGACTGCACTTTGCTTCCCCCACTGATTTGAAAGTATAGCTTATAGCCCAAGAGATAAAATAAACCTGCCCCCCKCACCGTGCCCGCACCCCGCCGCCCAAGGCTTTGTGTGGGCTCCTAAGTCGTGCACGGCGGCGAGATGCGGGTCCATCTCGCTATTTATTTGGGGAAAAACAATGGCTTTGCACCTCTGGTCTCCTCGGACAATAAGCTAATCCACTTGACGGCTGTTATCGGAGATGCGATGGGTGAGAGGTCAGGGCGAGCGAACTGCGCAGGAAGGGGAGAAGCCRGGGAAGACTCCAGCTAAACACCTTTTCGCTCATATATATATACTTATATATATATGGTATATATGTGGCTGATATTATAGATATGTGATACCACTCGGCAGAGGACRGAATGAAACCAAAGGGAAGCACTGGCTCAGAATAATTGGAAAGACCTTGTGCTTCTCAGTCATGGGGAGCCCGCGGCCGACTGGAGAGGATGGGGGGGAAAAAAAGGCAATTAAATCAATGAAAAAAATCAATGCAGGCACCTCGCAGCTTGTAATAATAATAATAATAGCAACAAGCCGCTTTGGCTGCAAGCCCCAGCTCGTGTCGGGAGACCTGGAAGGCGAGTAGGGCGGCAGGCTGCGCTCCCGCTTTGCAGAGCACAAGCTGCCGGGGTATCAGCGCTGGAGAGCCGCTGAGAAGGGCTCTTTTCCCCCTCTTATCTCCCACCAAGAGTCTGTTCTCCTCGTCCCCCACCCCCACGCAGGGAAGAAAAAAAAAAAAAAAAAAAAAAAAGACAACTCCTTGCAGTCTTGAGCGCTGCTAAAATAACCCTTGGCCGCTGCCCCGCGAGAGGGGGCTGCTTTCAGCACAGCCCCGCGAAGGAGCCGGGGGAGAAAGGCCTCGTGTTTGAGCTACCTGTGAAAGTAAACAGGTAAACACTTCCCACAGTGCGAGAGGGCACTTGTCCTGGAGTAGAGCCACTTAGCCTGTGTACACGCACCTCTCCTGCCCGGCCTCTTGTTCCCTTGTTCAAATAACCCCTCCGGCCTCTGGGGCCGGGGCTTCAGCTCCGGCTGCGGGGGCAGCTCCGAGCGCCACCCCAGCCTGGTCCCGCAGACCCTTTGTTGCCCACAGGGGCGACCCGACTGCCCCCCGCCCCTGGGTTGGGGGGGGGACCCTTGCGGAACCAGCAGGTACCGGGAAGCCTTTGCTGCCCCCCTCAGATGCCCCCTGCTCTACAGCGTCTCCTCCTCCCGTTAGGGCACACACGGCTCCCAGGGGGACGCAGGGACTGGGGGGAAGCATCGCTGCGGGGAGGCCCCCGGGTGTCCCCCCGGCAGCGGTTCCCCCCTCCCCCGGGACACGAGCAGGGTGCTGCGAAGGGAACAAAGAGAAGCTCCCGGGAAAAGGCACAAAGGGACGGCCCGGAACATCCCGATAGCCCGTATTCCGACAATGAGCGTCGGTCGAGATAGCTGGAAGACTGGCCTCGCTTCCCCGCTCCTGTCATATGGCAGGCGGGGGGCTCGCCGCCCTATTTGCGCCCTGGCCCAGCAGCCCCCTACTTGTGACGTCAGAGACACAGAGTGGCTCTGGCGTCACAGGCTGCTGRTGAGGTCACGCCTGCCACGTCAGCGCAGCTGCTTTGGGGCGGGAGAAGGGGAGCCCCGACCCCTGCTCTCCCCTTCTCCGGCCTAGACGGATCGGGGAAGAGCAGGTGGCCCCCACGCGTGGGAAAAACGCGGCGCTCTTTCCCACGCCCTCCGGGGGACCCAGACCCTTCCATCCCCRGGGGGTGGCAAGGGGGAGGCCGTGGCCTCGCCCGGTGCCACCCGGGCAGCCAGGCACAGGCCAGACCGATAGTGGCCACAAGGGGCTATTGTCAGTCCTTGCTTAATGACCCGGCGACCCTGGTTTTCCCTCTGGAAAATATTTACCTATCAGGTGGTCTGCGGGATCAAAAGCTGCCCAGGAGGCGCGGGGGAGGAAGGGGTCTGGGCGCTGCAGCCGCTGCTGAAATCCCACAGGTCAGTTTTGCTCCCGAGTTTCTCCTTGGGGCTATTTRCTCAGTGTGGCCGCTCTCACCCTGCGGAACTACCTGTGCCAGCCCAACTCTTCCCAGACTCGGGACGGGAGCGCCCTGTCCCCCGCGTCTGCCTCCTCTTGGTGAAATCCCTCCGGATTGGAGTTTCCTGCGGGACAGCAGCGCTGCCGTGCTCTGGCATTTGTGTGTTTGAGGTTTTGTAGTTGTTAGAGGTGCTTGTTGGTTAAATTCTTTTCCCTATTTTTTTTTTTAAGTCTGGCTCTTGGATGGGCCTCAAACCCGCTCCCCTCCAGCCTCCTCTCCTCGTACCCTCGAGCAGAGACGCTCTGCGGGTGCCGCCGTCCCAGGGGCGCTCCCGGCCCTCCTGCCCGGCCCTTTCGGGGCTCCTTTCCTGGGGCTTAATTTCTGCTGGGGGTGGGGTCGTTTGTGCCTCATTTTGCCCTGATTTGGCGGGTGTTATTGTCCTGCTGCTGTTGCGATAATTACATCTATATATGTATATATTATTTTTTTTCCTCCTTGCCCGCCATGGTGGCACAGAACTAAAATCCYCTTCTGCCCCATCCCATCTACCCGGAGCGAAACACCGACTCCCCCTCCCGCTTCTCGCCCCCGCCTGCGCTCCGGGCAGGTCGAAATGGGCGAATAAATCAATCAATACGTGCCTGGCTGGAGATGTGCTGGAAATTAAACATATATATTCATACCCATCGCCCGAGCTCCCCCGCCCCCGGGAGGAGAGGGAGCGCCCGCATGAAGGGGTGCCCTTAATATCGAGGAAGGACTCCGAAATGGATGAAGAGATAGCCATTGAGTGCAGTTGAATACCATGACAACTAGGAACAACCTCAGATTTATTCCCAACAGTTAGAACCCATTGAAAGGGGGCGTCAATCACGTATTATTTCGCCACTGAAATAAATGCAAAAACTGCGCGGGGACAAAAGGTTCCAACAGAAGCCGGACATTTGTCTACATTGCGGACATTGTTTGCAGCTTAGCCATAGGGTTGTATTTGTGTTTGCGCCGGGCCGACCACCCAGGATGTGCTCCGAGCCTTGCTTAAAAAAAAAATCCCTGGGCATTGTCAGCCCCAGCACATACTTTATGGGAGGCAGCGTGGGGGTTGGGGGGGTAGCCCAGCTGGGGTGGGGGGAAAAGGAGGGGAAGATGCAAACAAACTGATCAACAAACAGGACAATCTCCAAGAACCCCTATTTCTCCATATATATATATATATATAATTATTTTTCCCACTGCCACCGGCCCTCTTTYCACCTCTCTCCTCCATTGAGAGAAAATGGGACAACTTTTCTTATCCAAGAAAAAAATAATAACAAAGMAGGTGTCCTGAGGCCCTTCCGCAGGTTTTGGTTCCCCGTCTCGTCCAGTCCCATCTCCACGCCAGACGTGGCTGGTCCTCCCTGGCCAAACTCCTCCAAGGCAGCTCTCCTGCTCCAGACCTCGGGATGCCTTTGAGGAAGCTGCTGGTTGCACTGGTCACGGGGCCTCCCTCCCTCCTCCCCCCCCGCATCCCTGCGCCACTGGGACCCCCTCCCCAAACCCACAGAAAGTAGCGAGGGGCCGTGGCGCGATGGGGCGCAGGGCTCGGAGTGAAGGAYAGCGCAGTGCAGCGAGCAGCTCGAAAAGTCAAGGGGAAAAATCTTCCCTCAGCGCCCGGAGGGAAAATATAGCAATAATAATGATAATAAATTATAAATAATAACAATAATAATAAAGTTGAAGACGGACAGATAGAGGCGGTAGAAGTTGGGGAGGGGGCGATCTCCTGCCCTGAGCGGGGAGCTGCGTGTGCGGGGACACCCTGTGCTCGGACCCTCTGCAAGGTCTTACTAAAAAGCAGCCCTTTCTCTAGGAACAACGCCCCCTCACCCCGACAGTCCTTATCCATATTCTGGGGAAAAAAAAAAATTAAAATCAAATTGGCGACGGTCATATTCGAAAGTCCATTGGACTGCAATGCATTGATTTAACCAAACAGGCTGAGTTTTATCCCCCTAGCAGAAAGAGACTAAATCAACGAGACTTCTTCAAATAAAGCCTGTTCCCCCCACCCCCCACCCCTAATAAAATAATCACGTCCCGAATCTCTCTGGGCAGCGCCTGACGACTGTATTTTCGCCACTTCGGTTAATTTCGGAGCAAACCGGAATCAATTACGCGCTGTTTAATTTCCAGCGCTCATCCTTAAGCCTCTACCAAAATATTGACCTAGGAGGTTTAGCTAAGTTGGGCTCCTGCCATCGGAGCGGCGTCCGCCTGGGGCGCCGGGCACCGCGCCGGGGGGAGCGGGAGGGCTGCGGGCCCGGCCAAAGCACCGGCCTCCCTTCCCTCCTTTTCTCTTCTCCCCCCACCTCCGGCTTTTCGTTTTTTTTTTTTTTTTTTTTTTTTTTCCCATTGATAGAAAAACACACTTTGGATTGCGCGGAATATCAGGCTGATCGGGCTGGTCACAAGCTCTTTGTATGTAAATAGTGGGGTTTTTTTTAAGAAAAAAGGGGAAAAAATCTCCCTCTCTCCCTCACTCACACGCACAGAGGCACACGGAAAAGGCCCTCCCCACGCCGGTAATTAACTGACACGTTATACCACTCATCACCAATGGTGGAAGCTCGGAGCTCGCCCCAAACCCGCAATTTCACATCTGCAAACACTGTCTTCATCCACTTGACTCCCAGGACCCGCCCACACGTGGCCAACCTTTCCCGGGGTTCATGTCTCTTCTTTTTCTTTCTTTTTTTTTTTTTTTTTTTTT